ATCCAATGACTGATCTAATTCACAAAGATCTCTTACTGAATATGAACAGAAGTTGGAAAACATATCAAAAGGACTTAAAAACATGTATTTCAGATGAGTCACCTATAAAAGTCTCTGAAAAACCTTCTACGTTAGCAGAAAAGCAAACTGCTTCTACCTCTGTATGTGCAGTTCTCGAGGAAATTTCTTCAACTGTAAATGAGGAAAATAAAAAGTCAACCTTCCTGCAATTATGAAGTTCACCGCAAAAGAAAGACAAGCCCACAAACATCAGAAAATTAAAAAAAAGCAGCAGAAATTAGATAATTTTTTTTAAAGAATTAATTCAGGTAATTTTAAAATATTTACATAAAATGTAGTAGTTTATATGTTTGAAAATTTATGGTTATTAATTTTTCAAAAAAAGTAATTCATTGAACTTTTATAATTAGGTTATTCAATACTTCATAATTGTAATTTTTCATTTCTCTCCCCCCCTTCTCGAAACTCCAAAATGTCAGTAATTAAGTCCGTAAAAGTTTCAGGGGATTTTTTTTTTGGGGTCCCACAAACACCCCTGTATATAGTATGTTAAACTTTTAATTAACTTTTTAATTTGGAAAAGCAACAATTTGAACATAATTACTCAAAAACTGTTTATCTGTCATGTTTGAACCATTGTCGTATTCTTGGCCACGTAAATTACTAATATCTAAACCATTTTCCTCTAAAGTCATTAATAAGAATGCTGTTCATCCACCGGTCATATCTGTTGTAATATAGAATACTAAAAACCTTTCTTCAGTACTCATGTCTGTATTTTATAAATTAAGATACCTTATACAAATTGGTATCTGCTCTTGATGGCTGGCATCAGGGATACAATCAAGTAAAATAGAAAAATGCTTTGCCGGTTTGTCCTTATTTATAATAATTTGCTCTATATTATACCCTAATAAGCTAATTATTTTATTTTGAATTTTATCTCCAAGGTAATGAAGATATTTTTTTTTTTTTTAGTTTGAATTTTATTAATATATACAGACATGATACGGTCAAATTTTGTGGTCATTTCTATACACTTTGAAAATTCTTATTTCTTTCGAATAATTTATTACTGGAACCACGGAAGGCCAAGTTTTGTTTGGCTAAAAACTGGAATGGCATAGATAATTCTTCCCGTGCCAATACTTAGTCTCTTTTTTTAATAAATTTCGAAATTCCTAATTAACAGGTTTATTCTTTCGTAATCTTTCTAAGAAATCAGATTAATTCTTTCGTTGTTTGGCAAGATTCAACAAAAGCACATCCAAAAAAATGGATGTCCATTTTTGTCTTTTGAGAAACTGAAACTTGAAACCTGGTTTTGGTATTATCCAGGACCATTTTTTTATTAAGGCTTGAACTTAGGATGGAAGTAATGGACTTGGACATAATCCGGAATCGTCAGACACAGGCAAATGCGTACCTACTTCAGAAATTGTAGATTTCAATAGTATTTCTTCTAATTTTTCAACCGGCTGAATTGAAGTTAAAGATAATTCCCGGGGAAAAATACTTAATTTCCTATTATTAGGTTCTTTTGGTAATTTCAATGGTAGGTGAAACGTTGATAGACAACTAGTGCTAGTAGCATTAGCTTGGGTATTCTTTAGGTTTTGGAAAAACCTGAGTAATTTTGTAGTCCTGGTTTATTAAGTCTTCCTTTTTCTTCGTTACATTCTAATACTCAGACAGCTTTTTTTGTGGAAAATCTGGGGGAAAATGAAAACAGAAAAAGGTGGAAGTAAAAACGAAAGTAGAAAATAACTATTATAAGAACTCTTGCTTAAAACATTTGTTCTTAAAAACTCTTGAAAAGTCACTGTTTGATATATTTTACCTTACTTTTGAAAAAGTGAGTATTGAACTATTAGATCAGTATTACATGATTCAAGGAGATGGTGGTACTCTTTTGTTTATTACAGTAAATAAATCAAATTTAAAGTATATATTTAAGACATAATGAAATAACGAAACATTTTCCTTCGGTTATCCTTATAGCTTAAAATCGGAAATATAACCAGTTTTTGATTTCAGAATACCTTGTATGTTTTTACTTCACTTCAAATCTCAAACAGGTATATTTTAAATTCAGTGGTACTCTGTAAATATGGCAATCCTTTCTTCTCGAAAGATAATAATCTTTAGCTTAATAAACAAATCGTCCATGGGGGGGGGAAAAAAATCAAGTAATTATGCTCAAATTGTCTCTTTTCTGAATTAAAAAGCTAACCTAAGGTTGATATAATATGTAACTGCACTCACCTTTTTTTTATGTAGAATAACAATAACAACAAACAATCACCAAAAAAAAAAATCACGACAAAGATAAATGTTGCACAAATTACTATATTAGACACAAAATAAGGACTAAGCAATTTGTGGAATGTGTCTACGGCGCCCACTGTACCCTTACCTATGCATTGGCATCACGTATTTTCGTTCACATATACAGTCAAAAGTGTTTAATCTGGACTCGTCGGGACTTCGGCGATTCCGGATAATCGATTTTTCCGGATTCTAGATCATCAGATTAAATCTGGTAAGATGGCATGCAGAAATTATAAAATTAAAAATATGAAACCATAATTTATGAAATAAGGAACAATTATGATCTAAAGGTTATCAAAATTTACAAAAAAAAAGCTTATATTTATTTGTTTACTTTATTAAATATTTCTTTCAACGTGCGCATGTGTAAAGCATACATTACGCATATTCGAAATTCGAAAATTGCAACCAGAAAACTATTTGATATGTATTCGGGATATTTATAATGAATTTCATTTAAATCATATCAAAGACAGTACATCGAGATGAAATACTACATTTAGTAATGAACTATAAGTCGAATAAAATAAAAACATCTGCCCTGAAGATAAGGATAGTGCTGACAGATCAACTTCCAGTTCATTGTACGCCACGATGTTCCCCTCCCCCGCAGAGCAGCGTAAAATTGAGAAACAGATTTCGGAATGGTTAGAGAAACAAAGGATATGCCTTTATCCATTTTTTGCAGCAATTCCACTTTTTGTTTTATGTATATCGAAATATGCTTTCTCTTTCTAGAATCGAAAGTTCAAGCTTACTTTTATAAAATTGCTCTAAAAGTCTGAAAAAAAAATAATAAGCTGTATCCAATTCGAAGATTAAGGAACAACACAATCTGCAACATTAACTGAAATAGATAATTAGATAATTTTAGCTTAGCTTATACCGTCCGTTATACATTAAACACGCATGCATGAACGCATTATGCACATGCATGAAGGTATTATGCGCATGCGTCAACGCATTATGCGTTGACGCATGCGCAGAAAGTTTTTAGCTTTGTGGTCTGGATTATAGATCATTCGGGATTATGGGCGTCCGGATTAACAACTTTTGACTGTTTTTACAAGATCAGCACAATGTATGTCAAAAACTGCAAAAAGCATTAACTGATAAAAATCAAAGCGATATAAAATACACTGGTGTGCAAAACTTAAGCAACAATGTAAATTTTAATCAGATAGCCATTAAATTGTAGAAAAAGGGTTCTTGTATTCAGTACAATGAACATGCAATTCAGTAGAAAGGTCATGTGTATGCAAATGTCAAGAAAAATGTCACAGGCTAATTGAGCGTACGCAAAACGCGTACGGTCGGCACGCTCAACTCGAGACTACCATAAAAGTTTTTTTGGTTTTTAATATTATTATGTTAACAATGCTTTATTTTAAATGTTAACCATAAGCAATGTCCCTTTAATATCATCACTACATAAAGGCGCTCGCTAGGACATTTGCAGGATGGTGCTGATTAGGATTGGCGCGGGCCTATTTCTACACAAAAACAAGCAGTTCGACCAGCGGGCAAGAAGGCACACCTTTCGGTGTACAAAGCTGAAAGTTTACCCCACTAAACAAAAAGAAACTGAAGATGCAAAAACTGACTTAATCCACTATTGTGTGAAATTTCAGATGTAAACAAATATGGCTGCTGTGGTAAAAAAATTAGGCTTAGCCGCACTTAAACAACTTTTAAATTGTTGATAGTTTTGCAACTATTGCATGCAGATTAACTAAAGGTATAAAAAGTGTAACTGGAAGATAAAAACAAAATTCACTCATTTTTAAAGCAAAATATGCAGAATTTACCAACATATAAGAGCAATCAAACAAAACCAAAAAAAAAAGGGGGGCCTACGAAGCCGAGTAACAGAATGGGTATATATATATATATTTATTTATATACTTTTGGTGTGGCCGATTGCAACCCAAAAGGGAGGTGCACAACTACATGTTAAGCAGTCCTATATAAAAGTTTCAACATTCTCAGGCTACTCATTTTTGAGGTATGCAAGATACGTACATGGGTACCGACGTCACGAAAAAATCTCTTATGAACCCATTTAAAATTTTTCTGCAAACCGTTTGAGGAAAAATAGTCCCTTATTCTGTCCTTTTGTGCAGATGTTACACACAAACATTGTTAAATTGCATTCAATAGTGGTCAAAATGGATATTTTCGTTGAAGTATGATATCCAAAAATTTTCGCAATTACGATACTTTCTTAAGTAAAATGATCATTTCCTTATTTTATTTTGATAGGTTTCAGTTTGATTGATTTTATTTTAATTCTCAATATTTTTTCATTTATAACAAGCAACAAAGATTTTTTGACTGAACTAAAATATTAAAAATGTGAATTTAAAATTTTATATCTGTCCAAGATATCTGACATGATAAACTGATATAATTTTATTTATTTAAATTTGGTTGATATATATATAGATTTTGCATGGATTAATATATTGTTTGTGCAGAATGGTCAGTAAAATTAGTATTACCTTCATTAAGTATGGTTTTATCATATTAATGTAGTTATTTATTTCAGAATAATTTTATTCAATAATGTATAGAATGGAGAAAAACGTTTTTTCAGTTGTCTTAACTCAAGATCTGATCAAGTTTTTTTTTTTTCTTCGCCATTTCAGAGTTTGCAATTCATCTCACAGAACTCATGCTGGATGCTAATGCTCCTCTTGCAGTCAGGCAGCTTGCTTCTATTCTTTTAAAACAGTATGTTGAATCACACTGGTCTGCTAATTCTGAAAAATTTAGACCTCCAGAAACTACTCCTGAGGTAAATACAATTTTTATTGTTCAAGTTACTGTATATGCTCACATAATGTCCATACTTTTTTTACTAAAATTACATCACTAAACAGGTGCAGACATTACATGGGTCATTCAAATGTCGCACTTTTTCTGAGTAATTTTGGATGTAAAAAAATCATATGAAATCAGCATTTTGATATTATGACTTCAATTTTTGAAGTTGCGTATTTAATGCACTTGTTTTTAATGTGCATTAATATAAAGAATATCAAATTAATAGAAATAAAAATTAAACAGGCAAAATACTAAAATCATAACTATATACACAGAGAAATAAATATATAAACATGAAAAAAAGTACAAATACGGCAATAAAATAATAATTAAAAAAAAAAAAACTAAAGAAGAATTACCTGTAGGTATTTAAATTCCAATTTAAAAATTCTGCTGTGTGTGAAATAATTCAAAACAAGGATCGACACACAGTCCTACATTGCATATTTTGGACTCAAAATACGTTGTTTGCTTTCGCTTTTCTTTGGATTTTAGCGCACATAATGCATCTTCTCCTACCTTTATTACCTTTACCGTCAACGTAAATTTTCGGAAACTGTCTTCCAGTTACACAAAAAGGTGGAGCATCCGGTGATTTTGGACAAATATTTAAGTTTTTAAGTAAGGTCTCTTAGCCATGGCTAACAGAATGAAACTGAATATAACCCCAACACATGTCCACAAACTTCTTCAAAAGACATTCAGAAATATTTCATCCTCAAACCCTGTATGACATCAGGTTTATATTAGCAAACTTCCTGTTTTTCTAAATTGAAAACAGTGTCCTCGATGACCGGAAAGTCCTCAGGGAAAGACCCCCCACTGGTGGGATATCCGTTACTGGTCACGTCAATATATACATTGTATATAATTACATTATACATACCTGCCAACTTTTACGAATTTTTCGTAATTTTTACGAAAATGCTTTTGTCTTTACGATTTTACGATCGTAATCCATTTTTTACTATTTTTTTCCTTTTTCAAGTATTTTTAGTGATTTTTGTCAAAATTTTAGAATTTTTCGCCAATTCAGCGATTTTTGCCAATTGCATCGTGTTTTGCTGCCAACTACCGACTACTTTGAATCCAGTAACCTGCGGTTTCTCCCAACGTGCCGCAAAACCAGCCAATCCAATGCGCTGAACTTGTGAATTACTCAGCTCGGATTCAGCGAGCGTGGATTGTAGCATTCTGGTTTTTTTTTTTTTTTTTTATTCCCCCCCCCCCCACGTGCTACAAATTTTTTTAATACGTCGTTGTTACGAAATGAGTTCAAAAAAACCATATTCTCAATGTTTTCGGCTAAAATGAAGCTAACTTTTGTTTAGTCGGATATCCGACTAAACAAAAGTTAGCTTCATTTTAATTCCTATGTTTTCCGTGCTCTTCAAGTTTGCTCCTCCAAAATAGCCCTTGATGAAGAACTAAATTATTTAAAAGCAATAGCTATTGACAGGGGCTTTTCACCCAAATTATTAATCAAGCAGTTAAAAAAATTGTCATCTCAACACACTAAAGGCACACTCTTATTTTAGGAGATTATAAAAATTCTGTTGTCATTCCCTTCTTCCATCAATTAGCTATAAAGTTGCACATATTTTGCAGAAATTTAACTTTCGGGTTGTTTATTCTCCCATCAATAAAATTCCAACTTCTTACTCAAGGACCCATTCCGGATATGAATTCTGGGTATTTATAGGATTCCTGCCAGTGTGGTTTTAATTTACATGGTCAAACTAAGAGAGCCTTAAAATTTCGCGTCAAACAACATGAGGCATATATAGAAAAATAGAAAACACAGAAGTCTTCTGTTGCTCAACATTGTTGGTCCGAAAATCACACTTTCATTTTTCTGCTGCCAAAATTATTCAAAAAACATCTTCCATTGAGAGAACTGGATTTTCTAGAGGCATTTCACATTCATAAAAATCTTTTCTGTTCTAGTTAACGATCCTAATTCATTCCAATCCAAATTTGCCTTCGGCTTTTAGAGAAATTATGTTTTAGTTCTGGTTCGCAACAGATGGCGCCATTTTGCTTATTCTTGTCCAGGCTTTTCTTATCTTATCTAATCATTATTTCCTATCTTGTTCATTTGCGGTTTTGCAGCTGAAGATGATGGTTCGGTAAAACCATCGAAACTAGTCCTGTGAAAATTTTGTGAATATAACGCTGATTTTTGTTGTTTGACTTCTGAATTACCATTTTAATTGCTAAATGTTATGAGGAAACTAATTGTTTCCAAAGAATTTTTGGCTGAAGCCAAAAAATGCTCTCTAAATTCATTGCAATAATTTTTTTTGTGTAACATTAAGTTCTTGTTTTATGTTTCCTAATAAATTTTTTAGTTACTACTTAATTGAGATTTACTAATGTAAGTACAATTTTCTTTTTTCTATTTGTATAATTTTTTTTTTTTTTTTTTTAAATATCAAAGCATGATATTAATTCTTCGTGTTCTTCTGAATTTGGGGGAGAAATCTTCTGAATTTTTATCTTTAGAGGTTGGCAGGTATGATTATATAACGCCTGTGACATTATATATAATGACCATTCAAGGCATTATATATAATGACCTATTAAATCGAGTAAGAAAAACAAAAACGGTGCCTCTTTCCTGAGAAATGCGAGCGAGTAAGACACATTACGCATCGAGAAAGCTGATAGTCTTTCCTCTTCTGTAATAATTTTGCAGTGTTACTTTTTAATTAACCAAGAAAGCTTATGTTAAGTTTCAAAATAAATAGGAAAAGAAACAAAAAAAAAAAAATCCTAACGAAATAAACAAAATCGCCTGTGCCCTTTTAATTCACAGGCACATTTATAAAGAGCCTCGATTCTCAGTTTGTTAATTTCTATAAATCTACCAAAAGCACAAAACAGAAACTAATGCCAGTACATGAAGGTCAAATCCCGTATTAATCAGCCCATGTGAAAACAGGTACCACTTAGCTCCATCTACTGGCTTTTAAGAATTCAAATAAATCGTCCTGTTTTAATGTTACGTATACGCGACGCTGGGCTGGTAGGAGCAGAATCGTTGTGTCGCCTATACGAGATTCTGGGCTGGTAGAGGTGAAATTGTTGCATTGTGTATATGCGATGCTGGTCCTGAATGGGTTAAAAATTTTTATTCACTAAAGGGGAAAAGGCAATGTTTAAAACACATATACTGTCAAAAGTCGTTAATTCGGACACCCATAATCCGGAATGTTCTATAATCCGGACCTCAAAGCTGCGCATGCGCAAAATACGTTTACGCATGCACGTTTAATGTATAAGGGACGGTATAAGCTAAGCTAAAATTATCTAATTCAGTTAATGTTGCAGTATGTTAATGTTTTATAAAAGTAAGCTTGAACTTTCGATTATGTCAAATAGAATTTCTGATATATATTTACTAATATGTAAACGATCTACAAAACGAAAGTATGTTTCGAAGTCCATTAAACAAAAAGTGGAATTGCTGCAAAAAATGGATAAAGGCGTATCCTTTGTTTATCTAACCATTCCGAAATCTGTTTATCAATTTCACGCTGCTCTGCGTGTGTGGGGGGGGGGGACGTCGCGGGGCGCAATCAATTGGAAGTTGATCTTTCAGCACTATCCTTATCTTCAGGGCAGATGTTTTTATTTTATTTGGCTTATAATTCCTTACTAAATGTAGTATTTCATCTCGATGTACTCCGTCTTTGATATGATTTAAATCAAATCCCTCGTCATTGTAATTCGCTTCTGATAGCGAAGAAAGTGACAAACAGGTTATTGAAAACAAAGAAATTTCGATTGACAAATTAGTCGATATTCTCGACACAGCAATTATAGGACTTGAACAGCGGATCTTTGTAACTGAACAAGAAATTATGTCTGTTTATAGAATTAAAGACAAAGTATTATCATATAAAAAACGAAGCAACTTAAACAACTTACATTGAAAGAAATGTTTAATAAAGTAAACAAATAAATATTAAGTGGGTTTTTTTTTTTTTTTTTTTTTTTTTTTTGTAAATTTTGATACCCTTTAGATCATAATTGTTCTTTATTTCATAAATTACGGTTTCATGTTTTTAATGTTATTATTTCTGCATGCCATCCTACCAGATTGAAACTGATGATCTATAATCCGGAATCGCCGAAGTCCCGACGAGTCCGGATTAATGACTGTATATATTTTAAAGAAATTCTTTAGTTTTTGTGGTGCGGACATTTTGTGGGTCACCTTTTTTTACATAAGTTTTATGCGTAAAGTTGGGGTGTGGACATTACAGGAGCGTATACAGTAGGTATTTCATTTATATCATATCTATATATCAAGCACTAAGACATGGCAATTTTTAAAATATTCAAATGGTATAAGCTTACTTTTCCTAAAATCAGTTGTTGAAGTGTCTGTTATCTTATAAATACGAATCTTATTTGTATAAGCAAGTTCATTGTGCAACAAGACACTATATTTTCAAGTTTCTTTTTCTTTTTTTTTTAATGGTTATCTTGTTTGCAATAGTAATTTGCTGCAAGAAACAAGAATATTCAAAACAAGACACTAACATACACTATTTACAAAGTAGAATTATTTTAAGACAGTACATTTTAATCGTTTTTTCTCTGAAGTTCCATCTTTACGCTCCTCAGAGCGGTTCCAATCTAGCCTCGTTCCCAGAACTTAATTACAGAAAAAGTAAAGGAAGAGATGCCCGCCATCTAGTGGCAAGAATGTGACAGTTCGATAACTTTACCTCTCAGCTGCTGATGGGCTATGGCAATAAAGGGTCATTTACAAATGTATACCATGGCGAGAAATACACAGTTATCGAAAGCAAGCAAGTCATTCAATATCTACATTACATAATTAATTTACATATCTCCAAACTGAAATAAATTTGTATCTATTATTTTATTCGATGCAATTTTGTAAGCATGTCAATGCATTTTGTAAGCATGGCAATAAAGGGTCATTTACAAATGTAT